ACGCCCAACTCCAGGGTTATAAGGTCATGTCTTTCAAATGGGTGCGATCTGGAGTAAAGAAATCCGTCGTGAGAACGAAAATTTCCCCGGACGGACGTTATTGAGGTCAGCTGTATTGAGTCCAATTTACCTCGAGTTAAGTAAGATGAGGGGCGGGGTGAATCAGAAGAGAAGAACTGCTGAGTGGTTGGATGGGACGGAGGGAGAGAGAGAGACAAGTTGGAGGCCAGTAGGAGACATGCACACGCACGCGCGCGAGAGAGAGGAGGAAATTTCTGATTTCAGACTTATGCGTATGAATCACGCAAATCGATTGTTTCCGGTCATTCTGCTACAATTAATATATATATATATATATATGCTATGCGATTGAAAACGGTTTAGTAATTGGCGGTAAGTAATCTCGAGTCAGAGCATGTCTCTCACTCTCTCAAGCGACTTACAGATTGAGTAACTCTGTCCCCCAGTGGTTTAGTACCCAAATGAGTCAACTAGTTGCGATCCAAAACTGTACAATTTAAATGCGTTTGACAGTGGATCAGACTGAATTACGCAGCAGCGTTCGCTCACAAGCTGGGATTTATAACATTGAGCGGATAAATGAGTCGCGCAGACCGGATTTATCTGTAGCGCACAAATTCTGTTCAAGGTCGAACTGATCAAATGATAATCGATCTCACACCGAAGTTTACGAGGCCAACGCGAAATCCACAGTCATCGGGGCGATTAGTTGCAAACTGGTGCTTGTACAAACGTATGTGTGCTTGTGTTTATGGATGAATAACTCAATCGGGGTTGTGGTGTTTGGAACGCTTAGAGCAGCAATCTGAGCCCTCGGGATAATCACCATTGCATTTCTTATGCAAATTATTTTGTCCTCTGAGGGTTCACACACACAGAGTGGAACTTCGATCTGCTATTTATGTGCATGTGTGCGTGTGTGCACGTCCGCACGCAAACAATTCAATCTCTGTTTTGGGGGTCCATCACCATGGGGCCGGGAAAAACACATACACACAGTTACACGGAATGGTCTACATGTGATCGAATCAATCTTACCAGCGCCAACATCCTTCATCAGTCTCATCGAATGATAACAATAGTTTGTGCAAACGAATGAGGAGAATGTCACACTAAAGGATTACGCAACTTTGTCCGTACCGGATGATCATGGAACCGGAAGGAATACGAGCCCCGAACACATCTCCAATTAGTTGGGATCATATATACTCTGCGACGAGTCCGACTAACGGTACCCGAGGTTCGCCGGTATTGGGCATGTCCGATATGGGGTCTCTCACCCCGGTGGATAGAATAGACTTGTGCGCTACACCACCGGCACCGCCACCACCAGCACCAATTCGACGACGACAAGAGACCCCATCACAAGTTCAGGTAAGTGCTGGATTTTCTATTGCGGGAATTGATTCTCCGAGGATGGTTTTCTGTTTTGATTTCATGTTTTCCGTTCGCTAAATGTATCCCTCAGACTCACAAACTAAAATCTTCATCTTGACGTCCTATGGAATAAAAATCAATACACAGAGGTGTTCACTGCAGCAAACAGCAACGCTTTATGTTTAGATATTTTAATTTTGCTGTTGGTTATATTTAAGAGTTGAAAAGCCAATAAGAAGGTTGTCTAATGGACCAATCCTGTAATGTTGGAATTAAACTCTACCGCTGAACTTTCAAAAAAGTATTCATTCTAATATTTGAACTTTGAATTAATCCGAGTAATCGGCTCATTTAAAAATCAAAATAATTGACGATAATTTACCAGCCTAGCTTTCAGATAAAAATTTCACGGAGCAGTCAACAACATTGAAATCGAAACTAAATTTGGCGATGATTTTTTTTGATTGATCTCGCTTAGAAAATAGTGGTTGTAATGCGTTTCTTTTGTTTTGGACACCGGAAAGTTAAGCGTTTCTTAGCCCTTCTCTTTCCCGGCCCAAATTGATCAGAACTTAAACCTCATTATTGATTTATTGTTCATTTTATTCCCAGAAATAATAAAAGCTTGTTCAATTTAGAAGGTCACTAAATTCCGGGTGAAATTCTCATGGCATTTCTTGCATTTCTTGTCAATATGTTGCTAGACAGCTAGCTAGGTGATATGATATTTTCCTAAATTAAATCAATCTGCTTGTATTTGGCAAGTGAAGAAAAACAATGGTAATTTGAAAAACGTAACCAAGCATTTTTTGGATGAAATGTATAACACTTTTCCATGCATAGCTTGTAATGCTTTCCAATCGAATAGAATCTGATATACGCGTTGCAAGGTAACCTCAGATTGGCGCGAACACCGGGTGCATACTGATTCAGATAGAGAACCGGCGTACAATTGTTAGAAGTCAATAAGCCCATCCTTCACACGCCGAAAAAATGTTTAACCCAAATGCGATTTTCAAATATTTATTTTTAAAGGGGAAATTCGTTGTGTATGCGGCAAATGAAGCGTGAACTGAAAAGCTAGGAAGCGCAACTGTTCAGCTGTTTCGACCTGGTTGGATTTCAGCAGCGGTGCGATTCCATTGACCATTTATTTATTTCATGACAGTTCTGTATTTTGTAGTTTTTATGCTCTATGTTTCCCCGAAGCATAACACACGCCACGTAGGTGAATTTTTGGCTGTACCGCTCCAGCCCTAGCTGTAGCTGTGGCTTCACGAACAGAATATCGTATATCCGATTTGCTGACGATCACGTGACCATTTGGTGCACGTAATGTTCGGGTATGCCGGGAAAACAGATAAAAACACTTGCTTCCAAATTTGGCATACCCCTTGAACCTGTTGAGGATATTGTTTATTGGGAAAGTGGATAAACATTCAACACATTAATTCTGGCCGCCGTTTGTTTCTGTGTGTGTGTTTCGCTAATGCTTGACTGAGACGAGAGCTTTCGCCCTGGTGACCTTCGTCTACCTCTACACACACACACACATGTATGTATTCCATGTAATGTTCAATCTGTGTGTACGCTACCCGGTTACCCGGGTCATTACTACACCATGGCAATAAAACGCCAAACAGTTTTTTTTAATGTTTCATCGCGGCATGATCATAGGCATTATTTCAGATCCCGATCAGTTGAGAGAGAGAGAAATGTGTACCCCAATCTGGACAGAGTGTTTTGAGACAAACGGATAGTGTTGCACAGACACACACACCTACACACACGGTGTCCAATTCAACGATTTGGAAATAATAATGACTGTAACATTGATGATATACACCCGAAGTGGAAGTACAAGGTCAACTCAACGGTAAGTGGATTGATTGTGTCAAAAACGTTTGTGCGCACAAAGTCAAACGATTTAATCGAATAAGCAGTGCTTCACTATAGTTGCCAAACGTTTATCATTGCGATTACGTAATAGTGGTTTGAAAGATGAATTGGGGTCAACTGTGTCTTTTTGTCATGACATGTTATGCAACAGATGATCCTGGGACCTTGACCATCAGTTGTCGGTTGTATCATCAATTTGATCGGCCAACTTTGGAATATGTTCGGCCATCCGTTGCGAGAGCTGACGGTTTGCTCTGCCTATGAATGCCTCACCGCCACTGTCGGTCAACTGGTACACAGTGTGTGAGACAGAACCTGTTTACTAGCCATATTCGCGTTTGTCCAGATCAATTCCACGAGTAGAGGCAATGAATCTGAGTTGAGCAGCTGGCGATGTACGATCTAAAGCTGACCTCAACTTCTGGCGCACATCATCGTAACTGTGGTCACCTTTGAACGCAAGCTTAATGTAGATATTTAGTAATCTTTGTATGCTTGTACACGTTCAGTCACCGTAACTGAATATATATATATATATGCTATTTATATGCTTGTTTGTTTTAGTTGAAAGCGTTGAAAAATGGTATGTATTTTGAAGGGTGTGTGAACTTGATGACTGACAGTGAACATTGTCGGATGTTTTCTCCACTTGTATCGATTGATCCCTAACCACAGTCTAGTGTTTGATCATAATAGAACAATGTATAGTGTTTCATTTATTTGAAGATTTTTCAAATGTTTCTGTTAAGCTGATTGGGCAGAGGGAAGCGTTAGGCGACCAACGGAATCTAGGAATCTAGGCGTTCATGTTTTATTTTTTGTGTGTCATATTGTCCTGGCCTTAGTTGAGGCACATCAGCGGATTGTTGAATCGTCATTAGACACTTCTGTCCGGATTTGTTGTTGTTGTTGTTTCAGCTACGCGGTTTTCAAACTGGGGACCGAAGTCGATCAGTAATCAGAAATAATCAGGGGTGAGCGGGCGGGCGGGGTGAAAGACAAAAGGAAAGACACACAGATCAATAAAAAGAAATTCTCTCGATTGTGTGTCTTGTCGTTGTTGGTGTTGTTGCAATCGTTGTTGGTGGCGGTGGCGGTGATGGTAATGGTGGTGATAGTGAGGGTGTTTTTCAACTATACCCCGAGTGCGACAGACCTGTCTGTGTACATGCATTTCATCCTTTTTTCTGGCTAAGACCAAAAAAAAACCACCACAAAATTGGATAAGGTCTACACCTGCCACAAAACAGGATTCTGTATGACATCGACTGATGGCTTTCATTCTGTTCGCTTGCTATTTACGACATTCACGGATTTAAAAAAAACCAACAGGATGATGCACCCAGATAAGAGAACACTTAAGGTGATACTGTCGCCCGGAAAATGTCAACTATTCGTGTATGCTGAGTGGACGTACGAGGTACAGTCGAAAAACTATGAATTCTATTCCTCTCGAGTTGACTGGAATTAATCGATACAGATGCCATTTTAGCCAGCAATCGTTTGGGCAACTTTTCCGATGAAAACATGCAATTGGAATGCAATTGTTATTCGTTTAAAGTTCACTCGGGTTTAAGAATTCAAATTCAAATTCAAATTTTTATTATGGGTAAAATAATACACAGTTGATGCTTATTGAAGCCCCATCAGGATCTGTACATTCACACTGGGTTCGGTTGGTAGTACGATTAAACGATAAATTATAACATTCACTCAAGTATGTGAAAACGTTAGGTGTTTCATTGCTCCATCGAACCGTGACTGGTTAGTGTGCAAACAAATTGATGTGGAAGAGATTTACAGGAATTAGAAACTCTGAGGCTGAAAGAGTGACGTCTACAGTCAAACCGACTCCTTTGGAACAAAAATTTAAACAGATTTCGTCTGAGGTGAACCGTTGAACACGAGTAGTTAGATCGATGTCGTATATGATAAACGAGGATCGTGCTTTCTCGTCATCCACCGTATTCAGACGAACAGAATCCAGCCTTTCACAGTAAATTTAAGGTTGTATCCCTTTACCATTTTGGTTGCTGCTTTCTGCGGACGTTCGAGTGCCGTTTGGTCGCGGCCTGTACAGCATAATCGGTGTGTGGTCAAATGTCTACTGATAGCAAATGAGAGAATAGATCTGTTTCGAATTATCCAAACATACGTTTTAGCAACCCGATATGCTATATGGTCTTTGATGACGAGAGATCCTCGCGAGCAACAACCCCCAGGTCGTTTCCGTTTGGAGAACGCGGTAATGTGCGAGTCCTAAGTAAGTATGTAAAGCGACACTTGTGGCATAGCGATACAACCTTGTATTTCTAAAAGCTGAATTTGATGTCATTAGTGATAAACTATCGCTAAGCTGCGTTCAGAGTTTCCCATAGAGTTTCCCCATCTTCAATATGATGCACCGTTCTCCATGTTTTGTCATTGTAAGCGAATAAGTATGCCTTTTCTCCAAGGACAACTGGTAGGTCAATTATGGATTCTAAGGGATAGTACGCATCAAGTACGGATCCTTGTGGAACTCCACGGACAGTCTCAATCGGACCCGATAGAGAGAGCCATTAACTCGAATTAGAGAATTAGCAACTATCGATCTCATTACTTTTGATAGAACAGAAGGAGGTGTAACTGGACAGTGGTTCGTAGGATTAATTCTACAGTCACCTTTGTAAATAGGTGAAATGATACCGTGTTTCCAGGACCGGGGATTCTTCGAAATGTGGAACAAAAAAGCTACCTGGCTAATAACACTAGCGACTTTCTGTAGTTTGACACCCAGTCTGATGTAAGTGAACAAAATCAGGGATGGGAATATTCCCCGTTTGACTATAACAGCACACAAAATCACCGGCGAAAAAACGGTTGATTGATAAACCCATATCTTCCCTCGCATAGCTCACCCCCGCTCGTCTTTTTCATACGGATTGACGAGAAACCCTGCAACAAAAGGACTTACAATTCGTACAACCTCGTTCGGAGTAGTGGGTGTTCAATATACTGCCTAAATGAATCGCATAGATCACCTTGATCCCAGTCACATCTGGATATTGTATTCCCAACATTATGGCCCTTGACGGGGTGAGGATGGGTGTGGGGTTGAGCGGATTGTATTGTGTATGTGAGTGAGTATTTTATAGTTCAGTTCAGATGCCTCGAGGTGAGCAACCAGCAAAATTTGAGTATTGTGTCGCCTCGCCAACCGCTTGCAAGATCCATTCTACTCCGCAGTTTGGGCAACATCAAAAGAGATTTGATGATAGGCAAGGGCAATATATAAACAGACCAGAATGAGCACAATCAATCATCGGGACTAGACTGATGCGTACAACATTGCTATCTCACTTAAATGCTCATGTGAATCACGTGTGGTGTACAATGATTGATTCAACTATTACGTTTTCCCATGTCCGAGGAGCGATAGGATACAACAATCACCGTAGAGTAGAGTTTCAAAAGTACTTTCATTTGGTGGGAAATCCAACGGGCAACACATACCGATACCACGTGATTGGGACCCCTCGTTGGAGCATTGTGCACTGTGATCTCAATGGGATATCTGTCTATTTAGTGACCAGCAATGAAATTTTGTGTTAACAAATAACTACCATTAAAATTCCTTATTGACATAAACACACACACAGTCCTCAGATTATCATTCACAAAGAACCCCAGGTTCGATCCCGTTAGGTCGCATCGATTGTCGTTCTCATGGTTCTCATGGATCTGGCACTTTCATACGAAACGATTGCCAGTGCCACCCGATTTTATCCAATTGCAAGTAGGCATGAGCCAAACTCAGATGTACAGTATGATTTGCTTAATTCCAATCCCGTCTAGTGAAATATGAAATTTTTATTGATCCATAATTTTTATTTATCAATATTGATCGATAATGCTTACACACACATATTGCAACTATTTCCATACAGCTCATGAGTACCGGCTTTCATGGAGCTCATTATGTGACAAACAGGTGGACCAAGTTATTGATGCAGTCTCATTTGACTTGCTCACATTACTGATCAATTTTAAATGGGAACCAAAATGTTGAAGATCGCAAATATAATTTACTTAATTTTTGTGAATTTTATTATCAGTTTTTACAAATTTCACATGAAGAAATCTCAACGAGTCAGACTGTTTTCAGTGACCAATGCAGTGTCCTCCTGTAAAATGCGCCTGAGCCTCGAGACACAGTCCTTGCAATTATCCATTCACCTGTTTTAAGCACGCCAGAACAAATTAGCAGCAGTTACAGTTTGAGTAATTCTTTTGACTGACTTCTTATGTCACGTCCTCCACATTCTCACTGGTATCAGGGCCATAAACGGATCACCTTACAATTTTCTTGTGACCTACTGATCCAAATGCGCAAGCATCCCTATATATTTATAGAATCATGTTCTCTAGGCCACGCAGAGCTCATTGTCAGTCGGAGAAGATGATTTGAGGCAGAAAAATCCTTGCGACGATTCTGTGTTAGCGGTTTTGAGTAAAAACTGAGCGAAATTGGTATTTCTTTGTCCAGTCATTCTTATACGTGAACTCCTGAATGTGAATTAGACAACGCGGATCTCGTTTGCAGCTCGAGAGAAACAGTTGTCAAAAAAATCGCTGGGATGATTCGAGGGGACTGGATACGGTTACCTGACGAGCGTTAAGGACCGCAAAATCGGTCATATGATTCTAGGAAATTCTGCACAGTCATTCATATTCTAATCAAGCTGTATAAACCACACTGTTTTGCCACACCGACGAAACTCAGTGCTCACCAGATTTGCATAAATTCATCTCGATTTCAACTGCGAAGAAAATATCTACAATTCGGCTCAGATTTTTCACCTCCGAGCACATGCTAACTCACACCTGTACGGCTCATCAGGTTCGCTTATCCGGTCCGGATACCAGTGAAAACGTTGTGCGTCTAGTTCATAGTATTAGGTCGTATAGGAATGTTTGGAGAACATTTTTACCACATCATGACCAAATGATGATAGGAGTGTATCGAAAAATCGATTGATTGTAAAACCTGCCTTGAAAAAGGTTACCCACGGTAACCGAAACGTCGGCGAACATAATTCTCTACCGACATCGCTCTGTTATTAACACTATAACATTAACATTCACGATTTGGAGAACATCATCGTCATCATCATCATCATCATCATCATCAACAACAACATCATACACACAATGGGATAGTGGCATAGAAGGTAGATGAGAAGGTGCCTTTGAGTCATTTGTCAGTGGTAAGATTGATTAAGGAGGAGTCTAATATTGAAAATCTGTAATTCGAATAATTTGTCTCGATATTTCTTTAAAAAAAGCTGATAACCTTAAAACGAAAATAAAACAATCCGTTTCTGACGTCGAATCCATTCGCGTTACCGTCAACGAGGGATCCTTGGCGCGATGGGCAGCTAGGACTAGCTTGGGTGCAGCGAACACGTAAATATTGAAAACAGAAAGTGCACTATCAACGAGAACTAAAATTGCATCACCGATTTTAGATTAGTCGGGGCAATTTCGTACCACGGCAAGAATGTGTGACATGTTCATGGGATGTGGGTACCCCACACAGGAATCTCTTGTGACTTGCACAGCTTTTCTGTGTCCTCGACCGTAATTCGATATAAATTTGCACTCTATCATTGCCTCTAACGTGTGAACGAATAATTAGCTCAGGTAAGCGTGAAGATCACACGTAACAAGCCAATTACCGAAATCGGTGAAAACCATTAGCGGACGTCCACGGCTGATTGCATTTGTAGGGTTTCGGAATGACGGATTCGCGTAGCAGTGATGAGCAACTGAATTGTATCATTTCGGTTGTGGGTGCAAGTGACTACCAAGGAAGTCGAGACTCATGCCAGTTAAACTACTCGACTAAGTAGAAGAAAGTGAATATGAAGTTCTGCTGAAAAAAAGCATTTTATTTGGAACGGAGCAAACAAGCACTCATGTAGCTTATGTGCACAAATCTCTTAGATTACAATCGATCAGTATCCATCGCACCATGGAAAACGCATACCGCGGAAGTTCAAAAGCACTGTTTTGGTCTCGAACAGCCGGCAAAAGGAGGTCTCAAACCGGACCCCGGGATCTGATTGTCTCAGTGCACATGCAGTAATTGAAAGCATTTCAACAGTTCGATTTTGCAATAGTCCACGGACTTCATAATCGAGTTAGACTGAGATTAGTGAAATCAAACAAATATATCGATCTTACACGTTTCAAATGATTGTTTACGCTCCCTCTCCCTCTGCCCGGCTAAGGAAAGATGCCCATCTTTCATTTTTAGTCGCAGTCATGCCAGTTTAGCGTTCTTGTTTTGATTTTAAGTCAGAGAACTGTTCTGTTTATATCCTGTCTAACGACATTATTCATCTTGCATCCGTTTGGCACAGAATTGTTTGACATCCGTTGGGGGCTTGTGAATTGCCGGAGTTTATTTTACAATCCCGTGTTCGGAATCGCTCACATGACCCAAACTGATGCATAACAGTTCACTTCATAAAACAACCTTAGAATGAGTCACTCGAAGTGTAAATAGTCTAATTTTGTTTGCTGAATGGCGAACAATACATCTGGATATGACAAACTCTTGCCAGCATGTCATTATCAATAGAGAACAAGTTTCCACCGTGTACTTCGGTAAATAGCTTAGAGTCACCATTCTCCGCAATCTTTCTTGGTCTCCACATATCATCGGGAGACATTTCACAAAGTCAGAAAACTCAAGTTTGACATTATCCGTTTGAAAATACTATCTACCGTAACTGACTTAATAAAACGCATTGTTTTCTCTGATATCCTTCCACGCCGGGTCTTCTTGGTCCAGGGCTTCAAACTCGTATGTACATTCATCAAACACGTAGATCGATGCAGCGGAATATCTAACAAACACATTGTGCAGTTTATTCTTTCACAGTACTTTAAAGCTTGCCAGAACTTTTCCATCAGAATACTACTTAACCCATCTCACTCAATGTACTCTCACCTTAGTAAATATATCTCTATATGTGGCATTCGTTTCAAGTATAAGCATATAGTACCACTCATCGGCAACATATAAGTCTTCTGGAATACCGTACTCGTTCCTATACACAGCGTGTTATTATTCTATTTTGTTCTTACCCGCAATCAATTCAATCACTGTGATTGTGAGTGATTGTGAACTAGCTGAATAGGCATCCTCAATGAGGCGAATGGAAGCCTCTTGTTGACTTGGTCCGGAATAAAACAGTTTTCAGTATTGAAAACATTTTGCGAAACATATTTGTTTGAGTACAAATTCGCAATCTTCTATCTCAAATGCCTGGTAGCCCGAAACGTTCAGACGGAGAAAATGACATTTTTCTTGTCAGATGTTTGTAAAGCAACGCGTCTGGACAAACCTAGACACCGGACTGTATCAGATCAAAGTACATTTCGTGTGTGGTTACACGAGTATCACAATCGCTCGAAGCATGGTCTAGAATGAAGTCCTCATTTATGTGGTTTAAATCTTGTAATTTTCTGATATAGTTCAGAAACCAGATTTGTATGAAAACACGGTGAGCAAAATGTGTGTTCCCGTACATTATTCGTTTCCGCTGGTGAAAATGGGATGAGTCAGTTTAGGGTCTGGTGTCCGATGAAGAATGACAGACCCTATGAGGGACATTGCCCAGGTTAACTGGCTCAGTACTGCTGAGTATTCCGTTTTAGCCGTTTTCCGTTTAGAAATTCATTGTCGTGGTATTGCTAGCACGATGTTTACGTTCTACCCATGAGATCCCGGATTCGCGATTCCCAGTTGGGTCGATGAATTTACGCATTGCTCGGATGCGGCCCAACTAGGTAGAAACAGTTATTGAGCGCTTCCAAGCTTTTCAGTTCATGCCTCAATTACACGACGAATTGATCATGTATCTGTCGAAAGATTGTGCTCGGAGTACCGAACAGCCGATGTTTCTTCGTCCGTACAACCGGAGTTCTTGTTGTTCTTGTTGTTGTTCCTCGTGTAAGTTGTTTTTAGATCAGAATCCAATTGCGTACCGTTTGATTCCCGCTCGGGAACAAACACACACACACCGAGGACAAGGTGTTCACTACGAATGAGTCACATCAAAAGGACGAAGCACAGCTGATCTCACGGTCCCCAGTCGACCGTACGGTAACTCCACCACATTTCGGATGTATTTGTGTGTGTGTGTGTGTGTATGTGAGGAGATTAAACATCTCCGAGGGGTGTGAGACTCACCNCCCCCCCCCCCCCCACTCCGCCCCGGAACAACATTCAACTGACCCACATTCTTGTCAATTCACACACATCGTGTGAGATCATGTGCAATTCAGTGCACACATTGCGTTGTTTGTCCCAACCAGCTCGTTGATCATAAAAATCATTGGAATCTCATAGTGTGAAGTATTATCTTTATTGAATAATCGGAGTTGTTTAATTCCGTTTTGTTCCGAGTAGACACTTTCGGTAATTCTTGTTACAATTTCAGCAAAAATGTGGTATCTTAGATGAAGCTACGGTAATGATGGATAAACTCAACAGACTACATCCAAATATACATTTCACAATGGAATCTGAATTGAACAACATACTCAATTTCCTTGACATTAGTATGACTAGAAGAGAAGACGGAACGATTGCTCGGTCCGTTTGTCGAAAGGAAACCTGGACAGGCCAATATTTACACTTCGAGAGTTTTATGCCCCTGGAGTATAAATGTGGTCTTGTTGGGACCTTGTTTGACAGAACAAGGCGAATCAGCACGGAAGACAGAATTGAACAATTGAACTGCAGAACCTCCGGGAGTCTTTAGCGAAAAACGCTTATCCCG